TATCAGCAACGCAAATACATCATCATTCCGAAATCTACAATTTTTCTTTTGATTTTACAAATAGACAGTTTAATTTTTTTTTAAGTATAGATAGAAGATAATGTTACTAAAAAAAACTAGATACAAGTAGGACTATCGTCATCATCCGCATATGTCACTGAGAAGCTTAATATTTACCCTCAGTTGAGGTGTCTATGCTGTAGTCAACCATACTGGCCCGCTACTGGTTGACTACACACATATCTTTGAATTTCTTTACAGATATGTGCTGCATCACGATGTTCTCCTTCACCGTAAGCACTTCGGGTAAATTATGTACAGGGGGAAATTCAAAATCACATTGATACAGCGGGATTCGAATCCAAGACTTGTCGATTACAAGTCAAGTGATTAAACCCTTGAGCCACTGCCGCTTTTAAATAAACAGGCTAAAGAGACATAAATCACAAAGAAGACATCAGAAACGAAGCAAGAAAATAAATAATCTAATATATATAAAAGAATGTCGTGTTAGTTACACTATTTATAAATCAAGACCAGCTTTACCAAGATGGTTGAAAAGTGCTGAGGAGGTAGCTTAGGGCCCGGAGACATGATACTAGTTATTCCGTTTATGGATGGATATTTCTCTCTCTCGATGAAATTTGGCATAGATTTAGGGGATAATCTGGAAGAACACGTAGGGTTTTTTCCTTCTTTTAAAAATTCCAGGCTGACGGAGTCGCGGGCGAAGCTTGTTAAGAATATAAATAGTGTTATGTGTTGTCTTTGATGTCAGAATATTATTTACAAACCTTATTTCTATATAAATATCTCTCATAATATCTCCTTGATCTAAAAATAGATAGAAAAATAGAGATATTTCTTTTAGTACACAATAAAGTTGTTTACGTGGAATTTCAGATAAGATAGAAACTTTGGAATTATCTTACTTTGTTAAGTATATTGAATGAAATTTAGAAATAAAATTGAAATGATGTAATTTACTGGAACAATAATCTGCCCACGTAGACTAGTTTGAAATAATATCAAACGAAAGTTTATATATCTAAAACAGTCGTCATAAAAGAGAAAATCTACTTACATTTAAATAAAATTTAACGGAGCAATAGGCATGTGTTTTCATTGCCAAAACATCCAAAAAAAGCAACGCAAATACTTTTACATAAAGACATACTGATTATATTTTATATACAGATTTTGCTTATAATTTTACAACTGTATGAAATTTTTCTAAATTGGATTTAGTTTACATTATTTATGACCAGCTGTTGCTAGCGATTTCGTCAACGTGAAATTTAAAAAAAAATAGCATATGCCAGCAATAACGTAGCTTTTTAATGGTAAAAGAATTTTCACGTTATCAAGAATCGGTCCAGTAGTTTTTGAGTTATTGTAATATGTACAATAATACATTATTTCCTTATCTTACCTTATAAAGAGGAAAGATTATATGTATTGAAATAACTCAAAACTACTGGGTCAATTTTAAAAATCTTTTCACCATTAAAAATCTACATTATCAGTGAGAAATATAAGCCATTTTATTAACAGTGGTACTGCCCGCTTTAACACCTTAGCACGAATAGGCCGGCACGCCCGGTGTAATACCACGACTACACAGAAGACAGGCGTCAAATGGAAGCAATTCCGTGTTTCGTCTGATAAGCGTGGTGCCGGAGGCCTAATTTTAGTCCCTTTCTCTTTACCACCCTTTTCTCACAAGAAGAGGATGGGAAGAGGAAGTGGATTTGACGGTGGAGGATATGCATAGGAACGGGAAATATCCTTTTTATGTGCGTCTCCTCCTCCGTCGGATAATGGTAGGCAACGCATCTGCAATTGCGGATGTCTGTGGGCAGCGGTCGCTTCGCCATTTTGGCGGATTCAGGTGGCCGCTTGCTCGTTTGCTACCTTATGTTATAAAAAAAAAATAATATCTTTCTTAACTTTAGGGGGACGAAGTCGCGAGCAAAAGCTAGTAACATTAACATAGATAAGTTTCAATACATCCGAATATAAGTTTCAATAATTGCGATTCATTATCAAGCAATTATATAACTATGTCGAATTTCTATTATGTTGAACATACGAAGGTAAAAGTAAACTTTGTTTCAAAAGCTCTTTAATCTCTAAAAGGTACAGTTTCACGTTTACCAAAAGATCAAAGTTATAATCCTATGTAGTTTGATACAACCATAAACAAAAGCTTACATGAAATTTCTCAGAAATTCTCCGTAATATAAAGTCGTGATCGAAGCTTATATCTATCATAATAATTAATGTTATCCTTCAATACTTCATCTAATAACTCATGAACAGAAGTTCTTAAATAATCTATATCCATACTTCTATCTTACTAATATTATAAATGTGAAAGTTTAGATGGATGTTTGTTTGAGTTTGTAGCCTAAAGGGCTGAACGGATTTCGATAAAATTTGGCAAAGATGTAGAATATAATCTGGAAGAACACATAGGCTATTTACTTTTTTTTCTAATACCAGGCGAAAGCTAGTTGTTGTGGATTGATAAGGAGGTTTCATCTACAATTAATACATACTGGCTGTAATATACATATAAGGAGTTCAAATTGTCACTTTAGAAAAATGTGTGTCTTAAACGAATAAAAGGAATATTATAGACGAGGAAATTAATGTAAAAATAAAGTCTTTCAATTTCGAACACTAGTAATATAGTAAAGCGTAAACACACTTATTAGTTATGGATATTAGCAATCAAAGCTTACGAAACTAAACTGCTTAACCAAAAGTGCACAGAGAACAAGGCACAGTAGTGCTCTACCAACTCTGCATTCGCCTGAGACTCCACCCACGTGGAATAAAACAAAATAAGTACTCTATGTGTTCCAGATTTTACATCTATGCAAATTGTCATCGAGATCCGTTCGGCCGTTTAGGCGGTAAACTCTACCGACATCCATCTATCTAAGCTTTCGAATTTATATTATTAGTAAGATTAGTGTAGATTCCTCACAAGTAATCTACACTAAGTGTCTCACTGAAGTCTTACTGCAACGTTAAATAAATCTAATAAGTCATTATAATTTTACTATTAAAAACTACATATATTTTTCCCAATCATTGAAATAAGGCAATGTCAAAAAAACAATTTAATTGTAAGATATCATGAGATTATTTATATTAGTAAAATTTATTTTTCTTGTATTTGTCACAATGATATACGAATACGTAGGTGGTTAGGCGTCCGTCCTCTAAAGACTTAGTGCTTGTTCGGCCGTTCAGCGGGAATGTCGTGTTGTCTTGTGTCGTGTACATTTTAGAATCTCGTCGTGATATTGCATTACGGATGTGAATTATTGTAAAAACTTTTCTTTAATGGTTACTTCTAGTTTTTCTGGTGAGTGTTTTGTTTTTTATTTATTTCGTTAGTTTTGACAAAACACAATCTCTTCTATTGTATTTTTTAACAGAGATAAATTAAATAATTACAATTTTGAAAGTACGTAATACGTAAGTTTTCTTTGGTAAAGATAGTTTATGATGTTGTTTTCTTTTTTATTTTCTTTTATTTGTTACCTCGTTTATTTCTTTTAGTTGTAATAAATGAAATATTATAATATTTTCATACTTACACATACATGTTTTGATTTTAGTTCGTTCTAGTATAAAGAATATTGGTCAAGTGCCATAGACAAGAAACAGAACTGAACATAATACAATTTTTTAGATAATAATTTTTTTTTTCAAAGGTATTTAATGTTAAAAAATGCTTAACAAATACAGTGGTAATGTAACTTGAATATTATAACGAAAGTTATTGTTAGTGTCATACAATTTTGATTTTTCAATCAGCGGTAGGGATGATTCCCAACCTTCACCGTAAAAAGTTTCATCCGTCCCGCCTTTTAGTCCCACTAACACCAATAAGGTGACAGATGAATACGTTATAAAAAAAGTTCCAACCATCCCCTCGTCGCAAAAGTGGGACCGATGAAACTTTTTTTTCTCATCTTTTCCCACGTGGGGACAGAGTGGTGTGACGATTGTGAATAATCCAGCGATAGCAATAATCAAATGATTTGTCTAAGGAGACAGTTTAACTTAGATTCAACGATATCGGGTAGTGGTTTCAAACTCGGGATCTCTACGATTGTCTGACCACTACGCTTTAGAACTAAAGAGGGTCTTTCAGTTAACTCAGTCTAAATTATTCTGTTGAATTTGGTATGAAACTTAAATATTTATGCAGTAATCGGAGTTCCGAGTAAGAGCAGGAAAAGCAAAGGCCATCAAGAATTATACCGTTTTATAAACCACTAGCTGTTGCTCACGACGTCGTCCGTGTGATTTTTTTTTAAATAGGCCCAATTTTTTAGTTATTTTAATGCATCACAATAATACAAATTTTTCCTTTCCTTACAAATGGTTTGTAATTATATAAACCATTTGACGTTGTATTACCTAATAGGTACTTCAATTCGCTTCGGTTTCCTTCAAGGAGAAGTTACGAGCGAACTTTGTCGAGTAACTTAGTTGAATTTATGGATTCATTTCAATTCGCTCTAGTTTTAAAGTAAACATGATATGGTACCAACAGTCGATCGACGCTCAGATTTAATTTAATAGTAATCAGAACATAGTATGAAACAAAATATTTCCCGCTTCTGTCTCTATGTATTCTTAGATCTTTAAAACTATGCGACGGATTTTGATTTAGTTTTTTGATAAATAGAGTGATTCAAGAGAAAGGTTTAAATGTAAAATACTTATATAGTATACTAAAGAAATAATAAAAGTTTTAGAGGTTTCCCTTATCTTTCCTACCTTATACAACCGTAGGGTCAGCTCCCCGGGTTTTCGTTTTCCAAATAACTCTATCATCCGTCATCTGTCACCACTCTCTTCTTCGTCATATCACCTTTCACATAATCTTTTAGAGGATTGTAATGTGACGCAATTAAATACATTTTCGTATCAGCAAAGAACCCGTGCGAATCCGGGGCAGGTCGTTAATATTTTTGAATTTATATGTGTAGCCAGAGGTTGTAAATTAAGTCTACGTACGTGCGAAAATCACGGACTCTTTTTGTCGCGATTTCGGAAGGTCGCATTTAAAAACGACATCGTAAATTTAGGCAGCATAAATACTAAATTAATCGTAGATATGTTTACAACGAAAAATGAATGTTAAAGATATCTGTATATTTCCAATGATGCGGTTTTATTGTTGTTCGACGACTATTAACGCGAAGGCTTGTGGTTTGTTGAGAAAAAATAATATTATAACAAACGTTTTATGTTGTTTCTTGGTCTCTTTGTGTCTCTCTGGTACTCGTGTATCTTTTTAAAGTATATGAAACACCTAAGTAAATATCGGAGAGCAACAGAATTGAAAAAACGGAAAGCTGCGTCCAAAAATTAAAAAAAGGACATAAAAATATTCCAGTGTCGTGAGCGACCTTTTAAAAGCGTGTTAAGTGCGACCCTGTCAACCGGCGAACGTAAATAGATTGAGGTTTTAAGCGTCCTGTTTCGATAGCGATTAATAGAATGTTATTATTAAATTAATGATCTTTTTAATCGATTACAACCAACGCTACTTGTTTGTAAAATAGTTCTTAATTAAAACTATAGTCTTTTGAATTTAGAATGAAAAGAATCTAACGTCTTCTATACATATAATAATACTACCAGTAGACCGCGACGTCGTCCTCGCGGTATTAAAAAAAGGATTACATAACTGTAAACCATTTTTTGTCCAACATCCCAAAACAAAGCAGTGACTTACTTTAGTAAGGTGGCTAATTGTGAACTAGCTGTGAACTGTGAACTGAGGAAGGGTTACATTATAAATGCCTAAAGTTCTAGACACAAAGTTATAGTGGAAGACAATATTATTGTTACTAGATAAACATAAACATCAGTTATAGTTATGAAACAGGAAATGTATATAATGGTAGCGGAATTACCCTAATCGATATCTACACGTGCGTTAAGTTGGTCGATGGAATATTTAGCGGAACGGATTATATTTGACGATAGAAATAAATGATTGCGGACAAAAGGGTATAGACATGTTCGGTGAGAAGACATAATATTCCACGTACTGAAATATAGCAGTCGCAGTTTTAAAATGTCTGTTAGATTTTTATATCTGCAAAATGTTTAGAATTCAGTATAAAAGTTGGATTCTTTTATAACATATAAATGTTCGCTAGTGGACGAAAAATAACTCACGTTTGAATGGTTTAGGAATGCAGTGCGAAAACACATTTATTTTTATTTCATGAGTGTAGGTTTTTATATCTTACTAATGTTATAAATGTGAAAGTTTAGATGGATTGATGTTTGTTAGAGTTTGTAGCCTAAATTATCGAACGGATAATGATGATATCTGAAAGATGTAGACGATAGTCTGGAATACATAGGCTACTTAAATAAATAAATAAAAAATAAAAAAAAAAGCCTTTTATTCCATGCCATAGTTTACAAAAAATTGAATGGTACATGTCTAATTATTGTCATTTATAGATTATTACATACATAGGCTACTTACTTTTGCTTTTTTAAAGAGCGAACGGAGTCGCGGGTGAAAGCTAGTTAATATGTATGCGAGAATTTTAAGTAAGCATATTTACCTTTCACATTTCATAACGTTTAAAACTATTCTATTATCCAAATGAAATAAAAAGAAAAATAACTTTGACACTTTTTTAACTTCAATAAGTAAGCTTAAAAATAAATAAGTAGTAATGGAATATACAATTTAAAATATGCACTCAAAGATATATTTTAAATTAATTTAATTCTTTTAAACATTGTATACGGTAGAAAAATATTGTGTTATAAAACTCCATGCATGCTACGAGAATGCTACAGTAATGCGCGTGCTACGCGCTACGAAAGACAATTTGCAACTTATAATATTTTCCATACATAATCCTCTTATATGAGCCAAGAGTGAACAAGAAGCCAATAAAGACGAACAAACAACATAAAGGGTATTAAAGTTTAGTGAATACAAGTTTTATAAGATTCGATTTTGCGACATTTAGCTTTTACGGGTTAGAGCAGAGTCAAGAATAATTTTTAAAACTGAAAAGAAATCAGATTTTTTTAGTACATTACATTTTTGAATGTTTTATTATAATTAGCTATATGTGTGGAATTTCAATCTATACTAATATTATATTGGTGATTTGTGAAGATTTGTATTTTTCCTTTTGTGTATGTATTGAAATAACACAAAAACTACTGGCCCGATTTCAAAAATTCTTTCACTATTTAAAAGCTACGTTATCAGTGAGTAACATAGGCTATATTTTTTAACTTAACGCGGGCGAAATCGTGAATCGTGAGCAATAAGTAAGTTTTTGTTTACGTGTACTACTTTCAGTCTACTTAGATCAGTATTGAAAGGAAATACATAAACTTTTATATACTTAAATGGATAAGCAGAATTAAAAACATTATCTTCCTGGAATCGGAAGGAAATCTTATTTTTCTCTTTAATATAAGAAAGTGAACTCGAACGGAAATTCTGTTACATCAGAAGTTTGTTTTGATCAAACTGATTGAAAACAAAGGCAAAAAAAAAATTAATTAGCAGACTTCTGGCTTAATCTTACTAATATTATAAATGCGAAAGTTTGGATGGATGGATGTTTGTTAGATTTTGTAATTTGAACTGCTGAACGAATCTCGATGAAATTTAGCATAGTTGTAATTGATAGTCTGGAAGAACACGTAGGCTACTCTTTTGTGTTTGAATTCCACACGGACAGAGTCGCGGGTGAAAACTATTATAGTGTGTTAATAAATTTCATTATAAAATCCATTAGATTTCTCAGTTGTATATTTTTTCAATAACAAATAATTATATTTTGTTTTATATCTTTTAGGTAGATTTTATTCGCTACTATTTATTAATTATATTAATTACGTGTTCTTCTGATAACGATGTACATGTTAAAGATAATATTACAGACGTACGAGTATATTTAAATTGCCCATATTTCTGCTATTTCATGTGAATCCAAGTGAAGTATATTTATAAAGTTTTTATTATATTCATGTCAATTATTAAAGGAAGCGCAACACATCCCTGTTGAAACCAAAAGGGTCGCCAGTGTAGTTTCGGTAGTCTTACGTTGTTGTCGCGTATCGTGTTGTCCGTAAATACGGTACGTTTTCGTGTAATGTACGTAAAGTTTTTTTTATTTGTGAATTAAGGGTAAGTTATGATTAGTATTATATTAGGAGGTTTTTTAATAAATTAGAATTTGAATATTAAAGATTTTAAACATTAATTACATAGATAGTGCAGTTAATTGTCGCTTTCTTTTAATTTTGTTTAATTAATTGGATAAAATAAAGGATAAAATTTGTGTTTTTTGG